TTTTTTTTCAAAAACATAAAACTAGGACAGAAGCAAATAAATAGATAAGTTAAGGATTACAGTTTACAATACCTGTAGTGTTTGCCACTGTTCACGTCCAAATTGCCGGTGTTGGAATGAACTTACAACCAGTGTCCGCGTAATTTCGTTCAGTTTTCCCTATAAATCCATTTTGAAGCGAAAATAAATTGGCTGTGGAAAAAGAATACCGAGATCGCGTTCACTTGAATAGCATCAATTATAAACTCTTCTAATTGATCATTTGAAGGTAAATCCAACTCTTTAGCAAGGTCATCAAGGTGAATAACCTAAGCAAATAATGTGATTGATAGCAGAGTTCAGTACAACAGAACAAAGAAAGAAAATTACGTACATTATTACTTTCTGCAATTGTCATCAAAGTCAACAGCCGTATCTTCTTCAAGAGAACAGCCTCATCGACCTGAGAAAACAGTTTTACCATATATCACTTTGAATGATATAGTACCTTCAACATTTGTCCGACAAACTCCGGATGTGCTTTGACAAAAGCTCTATAATCCTTAAGTGTGCCCGATATAAACAGCTCCAATGCGGAATACATTAATGGATCAGACTACAAAAAGCACCTTCTTGTGAAAAATAATTTTCAAAAATTACCGAAGAACCTTTTGCAATGCCTTGACGGCGCAAAGACGTTGAAGATGATCGAACGAAAATGACTTTGGATCGACTACTGCTGTTCTTACGCATTCAATAGCATCTTCGCGTGCTTGGGCAGCGTCTTTTTCGGTGTAGGTTCCCAAAAGCATTATCATAACCTGCAATGAGCAAAGCAAGGCTTAATAAATAATGATTTAGGAAAGAACTCACCTTTGCTGCTTGGTCGGCTTTTTGATCTTCAAGAAGTCCAACATGTACGAGACGTAAAATATCCCTCTGACCTTCTAGCGATGTTCCCCATTGCTTGAACTGTTTCTGCAGTGTTTCCGTTGAGCAGTCCAGTTCACCAATCATACGCGCTTCAGAGCACATTGCAACTAAGGAACGGTATAAGGTCTCCTAAATGAAGAAGCTTAGGAGTGGCCTATTCCAAACAAAGAAAAAAAAAGAGAGCAGCAGGAGTCAAATTAAGTAATGGTGGAATATGCTGAATTCTCAAAGGTACCTAAAAGTGGGACGAAATATAGGCTTTCTTGCAAATGAAATAGCTGTGAAAAGTAAGTCCCAGCAATAAAGAGAATTGTAAATAAAAACATAGAGAGAGAAAAATCCAACGGTTTCAGCTCACACCTGAATCTTCGGATGCGCAGCAAATCCTCGGAACAAGTTTGACAAAACATGCACGGCATGCCCAGCCTGAAAGAAGACATGGCGGAAATTATATTTGATAAATCGCGTAACGTACATTGCTGTTCCATCCAAGACCCTTAAAGTGTGCTGGAGTAATAGCTTTGCAGAAAGCTCCCACAACTTCCAACGCACGCTCAGCTGGTACCAGTACCATTAAGGAGCAGATTGAATTCAAAATATAGTCAACCTGAAAGGGTTACAATTTCATTATACCACGATTCTATTTTTCTATTACGAAGTTTGCAACACACCTCAACAGGATGAGGACAAGCTCCCATGACTGTAAGCTGTGAACAGATGTCCAGAAGGTTCTCTGACACATCTGATGGTCCTTAAACAAACACAGTACCGGCTCTGAACTTCGAAAAATGTTCCAAAAACAGAATTCAAACCCTTGGGATCAAGCTTGGCTTTTCCTACTGTATTGAGATATTCTCGCAGTTGCTGCAGTTGCTCTCCATCGTCAATAAAAGCAAATACGGG